AGAAAGACATGGTGCCTCTTGTTACTGACAAAGGAGAGGTGTACCTGCTGTACCGGTGGAAGCACTGGTTTTCAGCTCTTGTTGCAGTGGAATAGAGGCTGACTCAACTGTAGCTGGGAAACCACAAAGATGACTTCTTGGGACCTTGCTAGGGGCCTGGGAAATTCAATCTAAGAGTACTTGAATAAGGTAGCCTGTGTACAAGCTTTGGAACCTCTTTCCTGAATTGCTCTGGTGCTGGGAACTGGCTTGGTTTGTGGAGGTTTTGCCTCACTGGAAGCTAGCTTACTGGGATCAATGAATCTCCCCACAAAAGCTCCTTAAATTCAAGGTGAGATACCCACTGACCAATTGAGGGATGGCGGTTCCAGTGGTGCTACTCGAAGTCTCGGCGAGTAGGTCCTTGTTGTCTCCGTGTCGCTCCGAGTTACTGATTCGGTAGGCTGGTTGCTCCGTACAAAGGAAAATCGCGATTTTCAATGACTCGACCAGGTAAACACCTTAAAATGTGAGGTCGCTTCCAGTTTACGGAGTTGAGCCTGCTTTCAGAACAAGAACCGGTACGGGGAACGTTGTTGTATAAGTCTTCAAGGATCCAAGATCGATCTGGAACTCTTTGACGTTCCGTGTGACAACGTTCACTGACTCAGTGCACGACCGATAAGTACCGTATCGCTCGAAAACTGCACGGACGTTTTGATTTGGCTGAGCGGATTCCGCGAAGAGCTTCCAGTACGTTCTGGTAAATCGCTCGAAACTGCACGGACGATCTGATTGGCTGATCAGCTTCCGTGAAATCGCTGGAGCCTGTACAGGACAGAAACTCGTGACACTCGAAAACTGCACGGAAGAGCTGAAGAGATAAGCCGTGGTCTCGAGCAATAAATCACGTAATTCGCTGATTGACTGGAGAGAAATAAGCCCGCTCCACAAAGCGTAAAAGCGTTGCTCGATTGCCAAAATGGGTGCGAAAACGATAAGTCTCGAGTTCACTCGGAGACTCCGGCAATAAAATACTTCTTCTTTCGAGTGAATTGACTGCTTTTATCACGGCAACAGGAACAGGAGAAGCTACCTCGAGTCAATGCTTTTGTTGTCAAGGTGATTGGAATCTAGGTCCTTTTTCAAGGCAATGATGATGGTGTTGGCCTTGTAGGAGTGGTAGATGGTCAAGTCAAAGGTTCCTGTCACTGTGGTGAAGCTTGGAAGTATCAAAATTGACCAGAAGGTTGTGGAGATAAGACTTCAAGATGGGCCTTGAAATCACCACCAAATTCCAATGAAATCCAATGAATCCAACTGTAGCTGTAGCACTGATTGTTGTAGTGCAGAGAGCTCCTTGTCGACCTGGAGACTCTCCTTCCCTTAAAACTGCCTGAATTCTATGCGACTGTTAATCCAATAAGTTTCTTGAAGGATCAGTTCCAATACCCAAGTAGTGGACTGGACCTCGCTGAAACCCTTCCTCAGGGACAGCGGTAGTCAGGCAGTTCTGGGAGCCTTGTCGTGCCTCAGGAGTATTCCAACACCTCCAGTAGGCACCAAACCAAGGACTTGGCCCTGTCAGTCAGACAGGAGGGCCAGCAGAGCTCTCTGCTGGGCCCTTTGGGCCAGCTCTCCTCAGGAGCTGGGGGCCTTCGTTATTCAATCGTGCAGTGGCAGTCTGGAACAGTACTATCTGCTACCTCCTACTGCTTCTGCCCGGCCTCAACAGGATTGGTATCAACTGCTGCGGTATCAATGGGGCTACAAGCTAATCAGGATCGGTCTCAATCTTTCGTACTATTTTCTTAACTATGGTAGAAAGGACGATCCTTTCTTGCTGCTTTGCTGAAGATAAGCCAACTGTGCATGCTGGAGCTGTAGGCCAGCATAGCTGTTGGAGCTATCTCTGACGGGATCCAGAGCTCTCGCTCCTAAAAGTTATCGAAGAGCGGCATGTCAAGAGACCGGTTCGATGTTCTTCTGAAGTACATGGTGTGGAGTTTCCAACCAGATGTCCGTCCAGCGGATGTTTCGTCTGAAGAACATCGATGGGCATTGTGTCAAGACTTTGTTAACCGCTTCAATGACCATCGAAAGAAGTACATGACTCCGTCTGAGATCATCGTGGTGGATGAGTTCATAAGTAGGTGGTATGGATTGGGTGGACATTGGATAAACATGGGGCTTCCGCAGTATGTTGCTTGCCATCGAATGGAAGCCTGATGACGGATGTGAGATCCAGAACTCAGCTTGTGGCCTGTCAGGAATTATGCTACAGCTGAAGTTGGTGAAAGCTGTGGCCGCCATTGCAGCTTCAGAGAAGGAAAAGGAACTACTGGAGGCCACCGGAGCGGAAGAAGATTCAAACGGGTAAGTCAACTGAGGTTTTCATGTGAAGAACATTGTCTTTATTCTTTATTATTCTGTAACTGACACTGAACTTCTGATCCCGCGTCACAGGTTCTTGCACAGGTGCAACATCCTGTATGACTTGGTCAAACCATGGGCTAACAGCGGCAGGATTGTGGTGGCTGACTCCTACTTTGCATCCGTCCAAGCAGCCAAGAGGCTTTTCGGCATTGGCCTTCACTTCATTGGTACTGTCAAAACGGCAACCAAGGAATTCACAATGAATTATCTTGGAACCAAACAGTTGAACGGTGGAAAGGGAGATCGACATGGTATTGTCTGCAAGGATGAAGAAACTGGAACCTCCTTGATGGCATATGTGTGGGTGGATAGAGACCGCCGGTACTTTGTCTCCACTTGTTCCTCATTGGCTGCAGGTCATCCATGTATTCGAAAGCGATGGCGACAGGTTGACAAAGAACCGAATGCCCCTCCGACACTTGTTGAAGTCAATGTTCCCCAACCAGAGGCTTGTGAGATCTATTACACGGCATGTGGTCGCATTGATCAACACAACCGGTTTCGTCAAGCAGGGCTCATATTGGAGAGGAAGCTGAAGACCACCATGTGGCACAGAAGAGTCAATATGTCTCTCTTTGGAATGTGTGTTGTTGACTCTTATCTTCTTGCAAGAGGATGCCAAAGCAGCAACTGCAGCTACTCAACCTCTGGTGAGTTCTTTTCTACTCTGGCAGAGGAACTCATTGACAACACCTATGAGTTGAAGGCATTGAGGAAGCGAACTGCAAGAGCTGCAGCAAAAGTTGGGCACAATGGCACTCATGTTGCCAACAAAGAAGATTGTCCCTTTTCCATCAATGCATCCAAGCAGCATGTTGCTCCTACACCAACCAAGAGAGGCAGGAAGAACAATCCAAACCACAAAGCACAGGGCAAATGCGCCATCTGTCATGCTTACATATCCTTTGTCTGTCGCGAGTGCCAGCAATGGCAACCAAACCACAAGGGAAAGCAGTAGTGGATCTGCAACAACTCTGGACAGCCTTGCATGGGAAATCACATATTGAATGGTCACCCAGACAAACAGGAGATGATCAATGCTTGGTAGTTGATGCATGCATCACCTTGCTTTGTTAACTTCCTCTTGTCGAGTACGTCGAACATGTCTGTTGTTGAGGTTCTTGTATGTTGCATGTTCTGATTTGAAACAGATGGCAGTGAAATTCTACGCTAAGTAGTACTAAACTAGTGATAATTGTCATGCGACATCAACGGTCATCTCTCTAATTCAAATTCTGGGTATACTTTCTACCCTAACTGGCACATAAATGATTTGCGATGTCATGTGACATAATCCGATTTCACATGACAATTTCACCCAGTAGAGCGAACACTAGCCACTAGTTTAAGGGCAGTCGTGAGCCGTGAAAATTTTACATTCCGTTTTCCTATAGTAAAACAGTACACCAGATATTCTTCTGGCTGTAAAGTGTTCCACAACTTCTGTTAACTCCAATAAAAGTGGATCAACACCACTGTAATTAACTCCAATGATAGTAGGCTTTATTGTTTGTATTGGTGTTAATAGGTCAAACATAGAAGGCGAGTGTATAATTAATAAAAGAGGCTGATTTTGGCTCGATTTGCTGTTATTGTCGGGTTCTCATTCCTCTTAAGTGTTAAACCTTGTGAGTGCCATTTACACCCTTGACACCAATGTGGGTTGTGAGCCAAATCATTTGTGCTGAGATCTACCTGAGTTCTACGTGTAAGTCTCAAAACCACCCTTAAACTAGTACAGTCGTAGCTAGTACATGTACATGTAGTTGTTTCAATCGAATCACGGTTTCGAATGGGTCCCGTTTGGATTCTTCTAGAGCTCATGACATTCTACCGGTATGCGAGTTCCATGGTAGAACATTGGATCGCTGATTATTTGTTCTTCAACGCGAATTGACGTTGAAGACTGGACACTCAGGAGCTCAGGAGTGAAGAATAGGCCGCCATTCTCAGTGAGAACTACCGTGATGCTACCGGTATTCCTTGCTGTTCTTGACGTTTTAATTCGGTTGCCAGAAATACACGTGGGCTGGAGCTGCGGGCCACTACTATCATAGGAGCAATAGGTCGGTTGTACAGTGGGTACCGGTACCGGTGGTACAGTGTGCTAGACTAGCTAGCTAGCTAGTAGCTGGAGTTGCTTGCTGGTTTATTTGTGGATGATGTCGAGTTTTGATGGAGCCGGTCAATTAATTCCGAAGTTCCTTCCGTCAGAGAGCCTATCGGCAGCCGTGAATGCACCATAATATCACCGTAATTGAAGATCTACCATTACCGGTACCAGGTAGATCTACCATTCTTTTACGGTATCGTAGCGTCGTCGTCGGGTAATCCTTAGCTCTCACATGTTAGTATACGACCTCTTCATTTCAACAGAGCATATTCCTCCGAATTGCTGGGGAAAGAAAAGTGGGTCGCCTGAACATCAAAACAGAAAGCAAAAAGAACTGCTTGTGTGTTGGTAGAACTAGTCTATCGGGAGCAGAGAACACATCTCCAGACGCCGCTCAACTCGCCGCTCACATCCGCGAGGGAAGAGCATTGTTCACGGTTCACGGCAGTCATAAACCACCGCTTCTAGCTAGACCACTTTAGCTCATTCACTTTCGTCGCTTGCAACATGGACTCAAAACAGGTAAGGACCGGCCACTGGCACCCAGAGGAGCTGGAATACATGGATATACTTGCGGAGGAGTTCCGCGATGGCTCTCTCTCCATCAAAGAAGGCTCGACCTTGCGTGCCTACTTGGCCGAAATGCTTAATTGCATACCCAAACGAGTCTCCAAGAGGATGGAAGGAAGCAACTACAATGGCAGGAAGACTTTCGTGAAGAGGATCTTCTCGGAGACAGAGCAGCAGGAAAGAGACGCCAGGATCAGTGCGTCCAGAGAACGCTTTGAAGAAGCTTTGCGTATATATGAGGATTTGAAGAAGAAAAGCTTTGATGACCACCTCCAAGCCAATGTCTCGTCCCGCTGCGGGCCAACTGTTGCATCAAACACCACCATCAACAATGGGGGGAATGTGGCTCCAGGTACCAATGTGTTCAGGGCAGAAGACAGCGTCCTTTCTTTTCCCCTGTCCGGGAATATGACAGCTCCGTTGGGCCGCAACCAAGTCAACTTTCTTGTTCCGGGCCTTGGCGGTGGCAATAATGCCTCGGTGCATGCGAGACTGGTGGCTGCTTCCGTGGCAACCCCCACGGCCCCCAGCATCAGTCGTGCTGCAGTCCTGGACCAGCTTGCTCCTCTTCTCCTCGCAGCAAGCAATTTTGGATCGATGAACATCCGCAATGACTTGTTGGCTTTGAACGCTTTGGCCGCGTTGTCCGGTTCTTCCACGGCCAACCTTTTCCCCACCACGCCTGCGGTGGACCAAGCTAACCTCAGGAGGAGGGCTCTCAACACGTTGGCTGCTTTGGGTAGTACTACTACAACCCCCACGGCTGAACCTGCCCCGAAGCGCCCCAGGATCAACTACTACTAGAGAGAGGCACCCTCATTCCATTCCATTGCTCGGCAAGACAAGACAAAACAGAACAAGGCAAGAAGGCATGGTCAGATGCCAGGCTGCGGCGACGAAGATTGACCTCTGTCGGCGTGGGAGCTGAAGACGATGACACGAAAGTGTCTTACGAGTACTCTATCTACATGTGTATTTTAACAAAACATACCTATAATTCTAAATAAGGAAGGCAGCGCGTTTCCCAACGGTGCTCCGTACCGTACGGCCTGCAGAACTTGCCGCTACTAGGTAGTACGCTACCGGTACTAGTACGGCATTGATACTGTAGAAAACATTCTTGTCGTGGTGGCATAAATGAGTCACGAGTCATTCGAGCACTTGTTGCGTTGTGGTCGCGCATGCTTGCGTTGAGATTCAAAGATAAACCTGGCGTGTTCGTTGCCGAAGATGGGAATGAAGACCGAAGCAGCCACAGCACACCTGCTTCTCTAGCTCTCTAGCTAGCTTTGGTAGGTATGCACATGCACGAAATCATGTAGCTATTAGTTTCTATTATTCAAGGCAAGGGATAAATGGATCATAACCATCTATCTGATGATCACCTTAGAGCAAAGTGTATCCTCCCCATCGGCTTTGTCATTAGTTAGGAAGACACCCAGGTCCAGTATGTGTAGTCCTCCGATTCCTGGGTCATATTGCGCTTGGACCCAGCACTGTCGTGTTCTTCTTGTTGCACACCTGCGACAAGTGTGTCAGTCACATGTTCGATGGAGAAGAGCTGGCGAGTAGCTTCATGCTCTAGAATGGATGCCAGCAAGGCTGCCGCCTCGGCTGTCGTTGTTCGTTCGGTATTCCATTCCCAATACGAATCATGGACCGTGCTGGGATCGGCATGGATGGTAGTAGGAGGTGATTCCCAGTGCCAGTAAGCGTCATCCTTGTTATTGTTGGATATGGTCCGACGACACTTTGTGGCGGCATGTTCGGTTGAAGGCGGCAGTTGCTCCAGGTGTTCCATGGTCTTGGCCGATACTTGCTGCCGGGCAAACTCTTCCTGACGAATCAAGGCGATGAGAGGAGCACGGTCCGTCTCGACACTGGGCGACCAATCCCAGTACCCCGTGCGTTCCGACACGGCTTGGTTGGCATTGGAGAGTACCACGTCCTTGCCAGAACGTTCCTCCCAGTAACCATCCTCCCTGGGAGGCGCACGGATGATGGTGACTCCCTGTTGCAATCGTTCTTGAATCCGCTGCGATTCCGCCACCAGTTTGGCTTCAATGAAATCGGCCGAGAATAAAAAGTCGTGAGCTTGGCTGTGCTGCTTTCCCCCCTTGATCTTGAAAGAAGAGCACTTCACCACGGCTGTGTCACGAGGTAACGTAGGCCAGTTCCAATACTTCTCATTCTCATCCTGTTTCCTCCGGTCATTGTTCTGCTCCACGGCAACTCCAGAGGAAATCGGCTTGTTGACAGAAAGATCCTTGATGGCTGTGGCATCATGCTGAATGACTGTCTCGTCTTGCACCTGCTGATTTGTCAATGGCAAGTATTGCTGGGGCTGGGCCAACAACAAGGAGGGCTCATTGTCATGGGCAGTGTGGAGCGAATTCGCTTGAAACTTTTGATTGGGGGCCATGGTTAGAAACGCACTACTGGACTAGCAGACAAACGCAACGAGATTATTTGTGGAACCAAGAAGTGGCAACACTCATGATAGCTAGCTAGCCAGAGGACCACATCGTCTTTTCTCTCCACTCTCCAGCGAAGGAACAGCGCAGTGATACAGTCTGCCTTTGCAAGCTTCCAGTTCGAAAACGGAGTTGAGCATTCTCATTTTCTTTGGAGCTTGCTATCTTCTCTTGGATCCTTTTCCTTTGCGCCTTCATCATTGCATTCCAGCTGCTTGACACCGATAGCTCACCAATCGACATTCTTGTTCGGACAAACCTCCTCATCTTTCCCAGAGTTTTGCTTTGAAGAATTCAGGGTCATTTTGCTAAGTCATCTCTTTCTCCGCTCGCTGTTTTCGTGGGCTTGGTGGTCCAATCAAATCTGTCCGGTATTCGAGTACCAGCTACGTAATTAGCTGTAGTTAGACTACATAAATCTTTTGAACGTTCGGAGAAATTCCGGTTGCTTTTAAAAAATTCGATTGATCGATCGCGAAGCCGATCGATCAACATCAGCTTCATGTAAGACATCAAGTTCAATTGTACATGTATTCATACATGTACCCCATTTCCAACACCCTTTAACTAAATCTACAACATGTTCACGCAAGCGCGAGCGACTATATCGGTGGGTGGAGAAAATCAATGCTATCCCCAACCCCCAACCCACCCACTCTTTTAGGTTGGTGCCGTACCGGTACTGGCACTAGTCCAGCTAGTCCAGTGCCAGTATTTGGAATGGCAGCAAGGATTTCTCCAGCCTCCCCGACATTATGTTTACTCCGCTGGCTTAAATGAAAGCTTCGAAGCGTTTCCAGAGCGAAGCAAGAGCACCGTAATATGCCCCTGGTGCGCTGTGCCTTCTTAGCTCGTTGATGTGGCAATATGGGATTGCTTGGATAGCTTACGATACTGCATACGACTGTACTGTACCCGTACGGTCAGTACGATATAGCGATAAGCGGTACTTGTACTTGGAAGTACTCAAGTACTCTCTTGCAACAGTATATCTAGTCGCGTCTTTTCGGACTGAGAATGACATAGGAATCCTTAATAAAAAGTATTATGAATACAGAGTACAGAGTACAGTCTAATCCAACCAATAGGATTTACCGGAACGTACAGTACAGGTTCTTGCATCGATAAAGAGCTAAAGGCTAAAAGAGTTATTGAGAGCTTCCATGACTGCATTGCTGCATTCCTCTCCCCTATACCGGTTGCACCCTCACAAAACCGCACATCAAAATAGCCGATCGTTGCTCCCAATCAATTCCTCCGTCAACACACACCATCCACTACCCACAAACCAAGATCACTGCTAGCTAGCGCCGCGAAGAAAGAAACACAGCTCGTCAAAGTCACCCAATCTTCCACCATGACGACCGAGCCTCCTCCTGCCGGCGATGCCTCTTACTCCGGCCACTCCAGTGTAGTTCACACCGAGTCAGCGTTGGTGAGCAACCACAAGGAAAAGCGAGAAGAGATTGCCAAGGGTGAGTCCAAGGCAGTCTTTTGGTTGCGCATGCTGGTCCTCTTTCTGTTGGCCTGTTCTGCCATTGCTGTTGTGGTAGCCGTTTACCTGTACATGAGCCGTCAAGCAGAGCAAGATTTTGAAACCAAGTTCCACAATGATGCCAACAAGATTTATGAGAGTGTGGGCAAGACGTTGGATCATGTGCTAGGTTCGACCGATGCCTTTGTGGTCAAAATGCTGGCATATGCCGAGGCATCCAACAGCACTTGGCCATTTGTCACTCTGCCTCGATTTGGATTGCAGGCCACCAAGTTGCTCAAGTTGGCCAGGGGCTTCTCTTGCTCCCTAGCCCTCCTGGTAGAGCAAGACCAACGCCCCGACTGGAATGACTATGTCAATCAGAGTCATGGCTGGATTCGCGAGAGTCTTGACGTACAGAGCAGGGACGAAAACTGGCCGTTTGAAGTGGATAACAGCGTGGAAAATTCGTTCGTACCGGACATTTGGAGCTACAATGGACCCGTCGAAGGTACCTTTGCCAATCACACAAACTACCTCCCCGTCTGGCACAACCACCCTATTGCTAGTGATGGCGGCAACCCACTCAATTTTGACATGTGGACTCTCACAACACCCACTGATCCGACCCAAAAGAGAGAAGCGGATAGCATCGAAGCAGCTCTTGCAGAGCAACGAGTCACACTGGCCCAGCAAGGAACCATTGTGACAGATCCAACCAATGAAGAACAAGTCAGCAAGGCAGAGTATTCCAACAACTGGAGGTCAAAATTCATCTCTCCTAATGAAGACCCGTCCGAGCCAGCAAGCTCCATCCTGTATCCCATGTTCAACAACTTGGAATCCGTCCAATTGGACTTGGAAGAAAGGCAACAGTTCGTCGGAACCTTTGTTTACGTGTTCTTTTGGCGTGTGTTGATTCGAGATATTCTGTCCCCCGAATCCAAGGGCATCATTGTGGTCTTCTCCAATGAATGCGGACCTTCCTTTACGTATCGTTTAGATGGGCCTGAAGCAACCTTTCTGGGTGGTGGAGATCTTCATGATGCCAGCTATGACTACCTGGGCAAGCACATGACACTGCACGAAGCCATGGAGACCACCAAAAGCAGCTCCTACACGGGGATTCCCTTGTCCGAGAAGTTCTGTCCGAGAGCTATTCATTTATACCCATCAAAGGACATGGAAGATGAGTACATGACGTCCGATCCGGCCACATTTGCTGTGGCGGCTGCCTTGATCTTTCTCTTCACTTCCACAGTCTTCGTCATCTATGATTGCACAGTTGCCCGCCGTCAAAGGCTTGTCATGGAACGGGCATTGGCATCGGGTGCTATTGTCTCGTCCTTGTTCCCCAAACAAGTCCGTGAAAAACTCTATGAGGAAAACAAACAGAAGCAGCAACAAGAGAACAGAGTCACCAAGTATCTCAGCACCAGCGTTGTTGATGTAGGCAATCAAGCGCAATCCGTTGATGACATGAAGGTTGATGCTGTCATCGGATCCTCCACTGGCAGTAGTAGCAGGCCCATTGCTGATAATTTCCAAAACACCACAATCTTCTTTGCTGATCTGAAGGGCTTCACAGCTTGGTCATCCAAGCGAACTCCCATTGAAGTCTTTGAGCTCTTGGAAGCTCTCTACGGAGGTACGGTGACAAAAGGAAATCTCCAATGGTGTTGTTTGCTTGCCTGACACAGTTTTGTTTGTTAATGCCACTCCAGAGTTTGATAAGATTGCTCTTAGGCGAAGAGTATTCAAGGGTAAGCGCGCGACCGGTGGTGCAGGAGCTGATGATCAAATTTGTCATTGGAAACTCACACTGACCATTGCTTGTGGTTGATCTCCCCATTCAGTGGAGACGATAGGGTGAGTACAGTGCAGGCGAACCTCTTGATATGGTTCCATCTTCCAATTGTTTCAGCTTCCTCATGCTGATTCCTGCAACTTGCAGTGACTGTTACGTGGCCGTCACAGGTAAGCAAGCACATGATAGAACCCAATTTGCACCTTCAAGTACAACATTCTCACCTCTGTTCTTACCTCTGCATTGAAAGGAATCCCCAAGCCACAAGAGAAACATGCTGTCATAATGTGTAGATTTGCCGATGATGCAATGGCAGCGATGAAGGAAGTTACTCAGGGGCTTGTGGATAGGCTCGGAGAAGATTTGATGGACTTGGACATGAGAGTAGGGCTGTACAGCGGAAGCACCACGGCCGGTATGATCGTGCTTGAGAATGCAATGCAAGTAACCCAGACCATTTCCAATCTCACGCCGATTGCCCTCTTCGTGCTGCAGGTGTTTTGCGTGGTGACAAGGGAAGGTTCCAGGTTTGTCCTAATGAACGACTGTAGCTGTGCGTTCGATCAGTCTCTAATGTATTCCTCACCACTTCACTTGCTTTGCTTGTCCTTCATTTATCTACTAGCTTTTTGGTGACACAGGTAAGACTTTGAAGTTTGGCCCCTGACAGCTGAGAATCTCGGAAGAGGCAAAGCAACTGACTAGTCTTGTCCTGTGCTTTCGATCCGAAACAGTAAACACTGCAAGCCGCATGGAGAGCAATGGAGTGGGGGGCAAGATCCACTGCTCTCAAGCCACAGCGGATGCCCTGATTGCTGCTGGGAAGAAAAGCTGGTTGGTACCTCGAGAAGATCAGATCGAAGCAAAGGGACTTGGGAAGCTTCAAACATGGTTTGTCAATGTTTACACAGGCAAAGCAAGGAGCGGCATGTCTACCACATCGTACGGAGAGTCTGTGATGGAAGCAATGGAAGATGAGTACGAGAAAGAAGAGCAATCCCCAAATTCCTTGGCAGAGCCCATCGAGGAACACCAGCATGATTACAGCGAGAACCTGAGCGTCTAGATTTGATGCTATGCTGCTCTCTTGTTAAAGTTGCTAGTAAGGCATTCAATGATACATTTTCAAGTTGAAATACTATTGCCACATCATACTGACTATTTCCCACCCGAGGCTTACCCCGTAAGATAGGTAGAGGAGTACCGGCATCCTACAGCCAAGCCACAATTGAAAGTTGGACAGCCCAGCCTTAAAATTAGGACTGGCCTGATACGAGGGTTCTCACAAGCCAGCATGGAACCAATTTGAAAGCCAGGCCTTGATATGATGGTGTCATTGCCATTTTTCCTCCAGTGGCCTTTTGAAAATGGAGTGGGCCAGGGACAGTGGCACCTGGTCTACCTGCTCATACAGCACTTAGCTCGACCTCATGCTGGAGCTGTTGTTGCCTCTTGATCCATTGCCGCTGCTGGTCGCGGCCATGTCTTTGCTGCGTTGCAATCATCCCACAGTAGCAACCATTGTAGGAGAAGGAGGTGAGCCAGGTTGGTAGTCCAGACAGCGCCTTTCTCTTGGATATATGCTTTTGAACATGATGGAGGTAGTCTCCCTGGTGTTTTATCGTTTTATCCAGAGCTTGGAGAGTGTGCCCTCTACATGTAGGAAGTCGCTCCACCCAATGTGGTTCTGGTCGATGTCCCGACCAGTGGTCATACCTTCTGGGAACTCAGACGGGTAAAGGTGCTTCCTTTGTAGAGACTCAATGGTGGCTAGAGTCACTGCTAGAGTCACTGCTAAAGTACTGTAGCACTGTACCTGGTACGAGTACTCTCTATCGCAACTTGACTGTACCGGTACCCGTACCGGTACCTGCAAAGCACCTCTATTGAAGCACCTCTACCAGTACCGACACTCCTCCGTATCCAAGCAACTCTACCGGCACGGTACCAGTACTGGTGGTATCGACGCTCCTTCCTCTATCGACGCACCCCTATGGGCGGACACAGCCAGCAATCGACACGCGGCTCAATGAAGAGCACTGCTTGATGAGGAGCGAAGTTGATGCGTCCAGAGTAGCTGAATCTTGATGCCGTTATGTCCGTCTTCCTTTGGATAGCTCAACCGTGATGAAACATCTTGTCGATATGATCATTGCTGGAGTTCCAGTCTTGGAGGTGCTGCCTTTGGTGATGCAATGCATGAAAGCACTAGCTAGTAGCTTTGGGGTGAAAGCATGCACCCGTGGAAGGCAGCAGCTGGGTGAAACGATTCGATTCGATTCGATTCACATTGCTTGTTTTGCACTGATCTTGATGGATGGAAAGTCCTATGTTTCTGTTTTCTCCGAGCCAACGTTTCTCCCAGCACTACTAGTACCTTCGTACCGTATTACTTGCGCTAGCATGTCGGGTTGGGTGTTGGGTGCAGCAGGTGTGCAAGGACACGTCGCATCGCACCACGCATCGGATGAAGCCCATGGACTGCTGGCGATGTGCCAATGACCCCGTAGTCGCGTCTCTGGTTGAAGTTGTCGCTCATGAGAATGATTGGAACATACCGTTAAGTACTCAGAGCCAACGGTTCCTGTTCGGACAAACCTCCCTGTCTGGCGCCGGCATCTGGCAGAGAGTTTCTCACCTTCTGTTCTCCAGAAGCCTTTGCTGTTCCAATTTTAAAGTACATTGTCATGACATTGTGACATTGTAGTCTACGAATAACCCCTAACCCCCCACGACTGGTACTCTAACACTCTAACCCATAACCCATGAACCCCCTTCTATTGTTTAAATCTTTCGAATGTTTCGGAGAAGTTCGAATACGTATGCATACGTGAACATTCCATTGAATCGAATGAATCATCCATCATTGAAGACCCAATGCCCAATGGATCCAGAAAAGCACGCTTGTGCAGCTTGCTGTCCGACAACGAAGACCGAAGAGCATTGCAATGTGCCCCTGTGACCTGTGACTTCTTATCTTTGTCCAATGACATTGTGCCCGTTTGTTTTGTGTGACTGCTTGATACTGCATACAGGAGCTATTAAAATAATAATGTACCTCGGGGTGGCTCGAAAAGCCAGTCGCGTCGTTGAAGTTGTCGTTCATTTTGTTAATGACAATGACTGGAACAAAAGAGAATACTGTACTGTAATATTAATAACGTAATTATTTGGGGCAAGACATCATCTATCATCTAAGTTTACGTAAAGAGTATTATAATTCATTACTCAGCGTACAGTAGGAAGTATGTACAGTCTTCATAAATCGATATTGCATTATTCTAAAGATCTAGATGTCAAGAATTCGACCATAAGAGTTCTCCAAGCCTTTTGAGTTCTGAGTACGATACTGTACTAGGTAGTCTAGTACTAGCTAGCTAGTCACTAACGAGTTGCGGAAGCATACTGTACTGTGTGCCCTCGCACCGTGTCATCTCTCTTTGATCGAAAGACATTCCATGAGCAACCAGTGCTCCAAGCGTTGCATGACTGCACTGTTCCCTTGGCCTTTTTGGATCCTTTGATTGATACCAGTGGCCCAATGATCGATAGACATTTTAGCCCAAAACTGCGCAACCACAGAAAAAGAAAAACTCATCATCGCTCCAAAAAAGATCGAATCGAATCCTACCTCACAACATTCCAAAGCCATCACCCACAAATCGAGATCAAGACCAGATCACCGCTACGAAGGAACAACTTCCACCATGACGACCGAGCCTCCTCCTGCCGATGATGCCTCTTACTCGGGCCACTCCAGCGTGGTTCACACCGAAGAAGGCGAATCGGCGTTGCAGAGCAACCAGGAAAAGCGAGAAGAGATTGCCAAGAGTGAGTCAAAGGCAGTCTTTTGGTTGCGTATGCTGGTCCTCTTTCTTTTGGCCTGTTCTGCCATTGCTGTTGTGGTAGCCGTGTATTTGTACATGAGCAATCAAGAAGAGCGTGAGTTTGAAACCAAGTTTGAAAATGACGCCACCAAGGTCTATGAGAGTGTGGGCAAGACATTGGATCATGTGTTGGGTTCGACCGATGCCTTTGTGGTCAAGATGCTGTCATATGCGGAGGCATCCAACAGCACGTGGCCATTTGTCACACTGCCTCACTTTGGATTGCAAGCCAGCAAGTTGCTCAAGTTGGCCAAGGGCTTTTCCTGCTCTTTGGTTGTCCTGGTGGAGGATGACCAACGCGACGGTTGGGTGGACTATGTCAATCAGAGCCATGGCTGGATTCGCGAGAGTCTCGACGTACAGAGCAGGGACGAAAACTGGCCTTTTGAAGTGGACTACAGCGTGGAAACAGATTTCGTGGGGGACGTTCAGAGCTACAACGGGGTCGTCGAAGGCACCTTTGGCAATCATACAAACTACCTCCCCATTTGGCAAAACCACCCTATTGCCAGTGATGGTGGAAACCCCCTCAACTTTGACATGTGGACTCTCACAACACCCACTGATCCGACCCAGAAGAGAGAAGCCGATAGCATTGAAGCATCCCGTGCAGAGCAACGAGTCACACTGGCACAGCAAGGAACGATCGTGACCGATCCAACCAATGAACAACAAGTCGCCAGGGCCGAGTTTTCCAAGAATTGGAGGAAAAAATTCATCTCTCCTGATGATGACCCCACGGAACCAACCAGCTCCATGTTGTATCCCATGTTCAACAACTTGGAATCCGTCCAAATGGACTTGGAAGAAAAGCAACAGTTCGTGGGAACCTTTTTCTACGTCTTCTTTTGGCGAGAGTTGATTCGAGATGTTCTGGCTCCCGATTCCAAGGGCATCATTGCGGTCTTCACCAATGAATGCGGAGCTTCCTTTACATATCGTTTGGATGGACCTGATACTACCTTTCTGGGTGGTGGAGATCTTCACGATGCCCATTACGACTACTTGGGCAAGCACATGACACTGCACGAGGCCATGGAGACAACCAAAAGCAGCTCCTACACGGGGATTCCCTTGTCCGAGAAGTTCTGTCCGAGAGCTATTCATTTATACCCATCAAAGGACATGGAAGATGAGTACATGACGTCCGATCCGGCCACGTTTGCTGTGGCGGCTGCCTTGATCTTTCTCTTCACTTCCACAGTCTTCATCATCTATGATTGCACAGTTGCCCGCCGTCAGAGGCTCGTCATGGAACGGGCATTGGCATCGGGTGCTATTGTCTCATCCTTGTTCCCGGAACAAGTTCGGGAAAAACTCTACGAGGAAAACAAACAGAAGCAGCAACAAGAGAACAGAGTCACCAAGTATCTCAGCACCAGCGTGGTGGATGCGCCATCAGGCGACGACACGAAGGATGATGCCAAGATTCGATCCTCCGCCAATGGTGGCAGGCCCATTGCTGATCTTTTCCACAACACCACAATCTTCTTTGCGGATCTGAAGGGTTTCACGGCTTGGTCATCCAAGCGAACTCCCTGTGAAGTCTTTGAGCTCTTGGAAGCTCTCTACGGAGGTATGTACAGTGACGAAAGAAAGATTTGAAATCCCCGATGTTGTCGTTGCTTGCCTGACATTGTTTTGTTTATGTCACGCCAGCATTTGATAAGATTGCTCTTAGGAGGAGAGTATTCAAGGGTAAGCACCCGACGCTGAAAAAAATTGTTGATCTTCACATTGTCCTGGGAAACTCACACTGACCATTGCTTGTGGTTGATCTCCCCATTCAGTGGAGACGATCGGGTGAGTGCAGTGCAGGCGAACCTCTTGATATGGTTCCATCTTCCAATTGTTTCAGCTTCCTCACACTGATTCCTGTAACTCGCAGTGACTGTTACGTGGCCGTCACAGGTAAGCAAGCACACGATAGAACCCAATTATTTGCACCTGCAAGTACGATATTTCTCAACCCCCCCTGCGATTTAAAGGAATCCCCAACCCGCAAGAAAAACACGCTGTCATAATGTGCAGATTTGCCGACGATGCAATGGCATCGATGAAGGAAGTTACTCAGGGGCTTGTGGATAGGCTCGGAGAAGATTTGATGAACTTGGACATGAGAGTTGGGCTGCACAGCGGAAGCACTACAGCCGGTAGGATCGTGGACGGAAATGCAATGCAAGTTACCCAGACCACTTCCCATCTCATACAGTTTGTCCTCCCCGTCGTGCAGGCGTTTTGCGTGGTGACAAAGGAAGATTCCAGGTTTGTACCGATGAACGACTGTGGCTGTGTGTTCAGTCTCCAATGTAATCCTCACCGCTTCAATTGCTTTTTTGTCCTTCATCTACCTACTAGCTATTTGGCGACACAGGTAAGACTTTGAATTTTGGCCGCTGACAGCTGAGAATCTGGAAAGAGGCAAAGCAACTTACTAGTCTTGTCCTGTGCTTTCAATCTGAAACAGTCAACACTGCAAGCCGCATGGAAAGCAATGGAGTTGGAGGGAAAATCCATGTCTCTCAAGCCACCGCGGATGCCCTGATTGCTGCTGGGAAGAAGAGCTGGTTGACGCCTCGAGAGGACCAGATCGAAGCAAAGGGACTTGGGAAGCTTCAAACTTGGTTTGTCAATGTTTACACAGGCAAAGCAAGGAGTGGCATGTCTACTACATCGTACGGAGAGTCTGTGATGGACGTCATGGAAGACGAGTACGAGAAAGCAGAGCAATCCCCAGGTGCCTTAGCAGAGCCCATAGAGGAACAACATCACGATTACAGTGAGAACCTGAGCGTCTAGAACTGATGCAATCCTCCTGGATTTAAAGGCATTTAACAATACATTTTGATATACTCTTCTTGCTGCGTCGTACTGAGATTGGAGTCATCGTGAACGAGGATAGAGCGTTGTCTCGACCCAGGCAGATCGTGCCAGCACTTGCCGGTGAACTCATCATCGAACGCAGCATAAATGGGGTTTGCTGTCTATCCAACTGGAGCCTCTGATAGATGTATGTTTCTCCGGGAGCCAGCTTCCCGGAACGGTGCATGTGCAACAGAATCGAATCTGATGATGGATATCAACGACGGTAGATCTTTCGATAGTGGCTCTTTAGAAGCAAAGACTACATGTAGCGGTACCGATGGAGATGTGTGCTGGTCTTCAGTCTGCTTTGGTTTTGCAGCATAGAAATACGACCAGCATCCACATGCATTGCTTTCAAACAGTCGGGAAGCACAAGCCATGGACAAAAAGATATCCGTAGCTACGGCGACCGCAGACCTCCCTACCTCATCCACAAACAGTCCTCCTTGAAGATAGTTGTGTGCATCGTGGTGGTCATCTTTCGTGCAGATAAAATTTGGAGAGCGCGTGCACCAGGCACTGTGGGACAAACAGTACCGCTTCCTCTCACATTTTGTCGACGCCCAAATGAGAAAACAAGACCCGTCGTTTCATTTCTTTTGCAACCTTGAGAAGGCAACAACTGCTTCAGCAAAACGTAGACTAGCCTCCATCATCCAAGTAGAGTCAACGAGAGATCTATCGAGACGCGATTCATTATTGTGAGGTTTCACGTTTCACAGCACTTACTTTGTAAAGAGAGTTTTCTACGGGAGTTCCGAGTTTGCGTCGTTTCCCACGCACGGATTCGGAAGTGCCATGACAATGACTCGTCTCTGCTCTGGCTGCTTCTTGCAGTGACGTGCATCCAATCTTCCAGTGCCGTAAAGACTGGTTCTCGGAATCGACCATATCGAGTGTTATCTAAGCAAACGAAAAGAAAGGTACGGGGATCCACCAAAGATACCCATCCAGGGAGACGACTCAAGAGCAAGAATGATGAGGATCCGTCTCTTGATGAAATTAGTAAAAGCGGAAGCATGACGATGAAGACTGCCTACAGTGAGGAGAACTTAAAAGAGGAAAAATCCGCCAAGAAAGTCAAGGGAAGCAAAACAGACAAATCAAAGAGTAAATCCCAACCAAGTTCTTCCAGGAGCAAGCAAAGCGTGAAGGGCACGAAGTCTGCCAACAATATATTTGACCATGAAAACACAGAAACAGAAACTGTCCAAGTCCAATGTGGCACTGATGTGATGCCATTTTTGACGACCTTTGTCACTTCCATCCAACTCCAAGACCCAAGCGAGGCCGGCAGAACGAACAAACGAGGCAAAAGGAAGGGCAGCAAAGCCAGCAAAGGGAACGAGATTGACGTGTATGATGGCGAGGAGGAACGAGAAGATTTGCAGGACCTTATCGAATTTCCAACAAACGACCTAAACCCTGGTGAGCAACGGATATTGGAAGATACTTTTCGAATGGTGTACAACAATTGGACCATGCAAATGTGTGACGGGTTCTTCCGAACAGTATACACCGTCACGTTGACTTTGGTGGAAAAGGACGAGGATGAAGACGAGTACTCTGTGACATTGGAAAACACATATCGAGGCGATGGTCGGGATGGGATCGAGTTCAGAGTGGTGAATGGGAAACCGCCGGTTGAGGGCGGCCCTTGGATTCGATCTCCCAACAGCACAACCAGCAGTAGCAATTCTTCCTTCTCTGCCCCACAGAGATACTATGGCTCCTATGACGGTGGATATTCTGGTGCAACACAGGATGGTCTTGGTGCAGTACAGGATGGTCCTACAACTTTTGTTCAAACCGTGTCGGGCAGTGATGAAGTCCCGATCTACTACGTCTCACTGGCAGCTACTTGTCGCAACTGCGATGTCACTGACGAGGTGAACTTTCCTCTGTTAATGCATCCAGATGGTGATGGCTATACTTCGGTCAGTCGATTTGGCATGAGAACGGGTGAACCCGGAACAACTTTAGCAGAAGAACATTTTGATGATGACACCCCAGAGGACCCAATTGAGGATGAAGGCGTTGCTCAAGACAACGAACAAGTAGAAGACGATCTAGGTGAGACGGAAGAGGACACCTGCACGTGTGCGTTACCAGTAGAGGATGGGAAAGAGACTGAAACCTATCGTCAACGACGGAGGCGTCATCGTCGTCGACTGGACGGGCATGATGACTTGTACGCCCCCCCTCCCAATGGTCCTTCTCCTGAACAATACATAGCAGCCATGAACGCCGCTATTGAGGACTTGCACGAGACAGAAGGAAAGCTGTTGAGGGTTGCAGGATTGGTACACCTCATTGAGCCTGACTACTTTGAGGGAGAGAATCCAGAGTTGGAGATGCCGCCCCCAAATCCCATACCAACCATTAGTCCTGCCTCGGCTCCTTCAGCGAATTTCACCACTGAATCGGCTTTCTCTACTACGCAACCCACCTTTTCTGTGGAATCGGATGATTTCAATGACGGGACCATCAGTTCTGCCAATGGCACTTCTATAGCATCTCCAGTGCCAGCACCAACGCCACAACCTGCTCCACAAACAGCCAGCCCCACAGCAGCCGCGGAACAAGCCAGGGAATTGCCACCAACGCCGAGCTCGAGTTCCAGGCTCGTCTCATGGCGCGAAGCAGTTCTCTCGTGCTTGATAGGTGGTATTGTGGTGCTTGGCCTGCCCAATGCAGCAATATGATAGCAAAAATGCCTGCATCAACATGGTGGAAGGGTCGGGAGTTTGTGTGTGCATCTGGCTGATGTTACCATACCGTATTTGCGTGTTTATCATAAGACGTAGTAAGTAGCAGCAAATACTAGTAATGATTTCTTGAACGGGAGTGAGTTGCATCCAGCCCCTTCTTTCATCTTGTCAGCTAGCTGGTACCCTGAATTTAGTCGGAACAAGAACATGTACAAGCAGAAGGAAGGAGCAGCACTATACAGACAAGTCTGTAGCTAGCGGTAGTACATATGACCAGAGGCGAAGAAAGGACAAGCAAATCTTGAATATTAGCAGAGATACTATCTATGCATACATGTGGATCTCGCTACTAGACTACGATACAGTACGGTAGAGCTAGGTAGATCTGGCTACGATGTACACGACGGTACGGGTACAGTTAGTTGCTCTCGCTGGCTACGACTGTACTAGTAGCTGGCCACAGTCGTAGCTAGATTGGGCGACACCTCGTGTTGAGTTGGATAACTCCAACCCTACCATTCCACATTCAAATTTAAAAAACAAACTTTGGTTACTTAGGCGGACCTCAAAATTACCGTTTTCTTGTCTTCGAGAAGAAGAAAAGTGAGAAGCTGGAGGTAGCATCCAAATCAATTTTGCTATCGGTATTCACCATCATTCTTTGCTTGTTGTTGTTAGGGTAGTCCAAGGATAATAAGGAATCTTCTTGACGTACCATGACGGCAATATCTATTAATAAGTTGTTATCTCTGCTGCTGTTGCTCCTGGCTTCAGCACACAGGACTCTTTCCCTGCCATCTGGTGCTGGCAATTGTGTGGGAGGTCGTCCGGCTGTGGGTGTAACACACATGAATGCTGCCAGTGTGACGGAAGGATCTTTGAATCTAGGAGGGATTGTCTTTTCCGTGGGTGACTATGAACTCACAAGCCGAGGGGTGGGAGAAGTGCGTCTTCCCGTGGGCCAAGATTTGACTTGGCAACTCAATGCGACTGATCGCCCCATGCGAGGATTTCTGATTCGAGCGGAAGACTTGTCAGACGATGCCGCTGTTGATACCACGCGATCATTTTTGGAACCGCAACGAAGAGCCGACAAGTTTCAAGTTGCGGAGACTGTTTGCGTCAGTGCTTTTCGTGTCGGAGGAGTGACCCATATCAACAATAATCAAAAGCGATCCATCAGCGGTATCTTTCGAATGGACCATGTCGTCCAAGAACTGCAAATGGATGTTACCGTTGTCATGAAGAATCGCAATGGGCAATCTGTATTTTACTATACAGGGTTTGTAGTTTCCATTGTAGCTGATGAACCAGAGGAAGAGGCAGATAATGACGTAGATGACATTGAAGTCGAAGGCGACAATGGCTTTGAGGAGGATGCTGGTGAAATTGAAGAAGATCCAGTTGACATCGAAGTGGAATTTGTCGACGAACAAGTTACTGAAGATGATGCAGACAATGACAGTGATAACGATAATGATAATGGAGTCTCCAATTTGGGATTCTTTAACCCGGGTGCTCTGCTTCCTCTAACACTGCGCGCAAACGATTGTGCCAGCGATAATGCATGTGACAAATGTGAAGGGGACTGTAACAAGAACAGTGATTGCAAAGACGGCTTGGAGTGCTTCTTCCGGCCTGACGATACACCCATCCCCGGATGCTTGGGAGATGGCATTGCAGGCAAAGACTATTGCTATCAACCCCAAAACGATACCCTTCGATTGCGCAGTGTGGATTGCCATCAAAATAGAACTTGTGATGTATGCCAGGGCTCCTGTACTACTGATGACGACTGTGGAGCTGGTCTATCTTGTTTCATTCGCCCTGATACTACTCCTGTTCCTGGATGCCAAAGTCGCGGAATCTCAGGACGAAACTATTGCTATCAACCACCTGAGAATGAAGAAGAAATCTTGAGACTGCGTCCAACTGAGTGCAATTCCACACACCCGTGTGCTGTGTGTGAAGGAAGTTGTGAGTCTGATTCACATTGCGGAGAAGGTCTTCAGTGTTTCTTTCGCCCGGACCTCGCTCCCGTTCCAGGTTGCTCGCCTTCCTTCCTGGGAGTTGCTGGAAGGAATTATTGCTCTGAGCCACAAGAAGGTGTTTTGACGCTGCGAAGGTCACCGTGCAGTACCTTTTTACCATGCGATGCTTGTCAAGGCGAGTGCACGCACGATAGTCAGTGCAAAGGATATCTCGAATGCTTTCGTCGCTCCGACGTCGAGGAAATACCAGGGTGTCATACGAAAGGTGTCTCCGGCAAGGATTATTGCTACGACCCTTTCCAGGAGGACGTGATGCTAATTCCTGCGGTTGCCCCTTCTCCGCCCACTCCGATGCCAACACCGCCTCGGCCAACACCTGTTATTACAATCACTACAGAGCCGACGGACAACCCAACTACGTCAACTGAACCGTCTAGAGCTCCAACGCCACCAACCCCAATGCCCACACCTCCACGGCCGACGCTAGAACCAACCCCCACGCGGAGACCAAAGCGCACCCCTCAGCCGACTGACACACTTGATCCCACTCAACTCCCTTCAATATCTCCAACACCCAAGCCTACTCGCCGACCTCGTCCCACACCCGGCCCCACTGAAGAACCTACTGTAATCCTAGAGGATTTATCAGGTGAGTGAATGAATTTTGCGTGTCAATCCTTGCAAAAACAGCATCATAATGGCTTCATGCGGCTCACAAATCGTTTCTTTCTTCCTTCGTCTCCTAGTTGCATTTACAAAAGCACCCACCTTTGCACCCACATCAACACCAACACTGCGCCCTACACGCCAAACAAGAGCTCCTACTCGGCCCACACCTATGCCCACACCACCTCGGCCAAGTCCGAGTCCCACCTTTCGAACACCTCGGCCAACAAGGACACCAAGGCCAACTCCTAGACCGACGCTTGGTGATGCAGTAGAAGAGCTGGATAACGCAAATGCACTGTCCGAGAGGTTGAGTCGTCCCTGTTCAAGGTATGTAACGCACAGTTGATGATGATCATCAACTCCATCCAATCACATACGGTAAAATGCAATGTACGCTCACAACGCGGATATCATATAGTGCAAACCCATGTGATGCATGTGTTGGTGTAAGTTCGTTTTTTGTTGTGTGTGCATTTCATGGGTGATTGATGCCCTCTCATACTCGTTGACGTGTCCCTGAACAGAGCTGCCAAAGAGACTCGCACTGCGCTGGCCTTCTCCAGTGTTTCCACCGACCAGATAATACCCCTATACCCGGCTGCAATGGGCTGGGCGTGACCGGTGAGTACATGTTGATTCAACGATGAGCCATTGGCAAAGACCACAACTTCTCTGAAAGGCACTCCATTGACACTTGGCGCTATCTCCTTACACAGGGACCAACTATTGTGCAGTTAACCCTGCAGTTACCAACGTGCCTGTTCCCCCCGCTGCGCTGCCTGCACCAAAGCCCACTTCACAAACACTTGTCGGTGGCAATATACAAGCCGATATTCTTCCTTTGCGAAACCGAAACATCCAATGCACACGCGCCGAACCCTGCGGACTGTGCACTGGCGTAAGTTGCAGTTTGATTTGTTCGGTTGTCCATGTATGTATTGTCTGCTTTCTCTCACATGTCGATCCTTCGTCTCGTACCAACAGGATTGCGATAACGATGAGTGAGTCTGCCATGGAGCGGAAACGTTCGAAACCCATTACCACATCTCTCTTGTACCCTCACAATACATATGTGTTTGTGCTCGACAGTCAATGTACAGGAGAACTTCGTTGTTTCTTCCGTAGCAGCTTCCAACAAGTGCCGGGTTGTTCTGGGCAAGGCACGATGGGGACAGACTATTGCGCCATTGACCCGAGAACCAGCAATGCAAACGATGATGGTGGAAATGGAGCCACTGTCAACAACAATGACGACAATGGCGGGATCAACGTTAATGCTGGGGCCGTCCTAAGAACACGCAACCCAGTTTGCACTCCGTAAGTCACCAGCAACGCTCGGAATGAGTCGAGTAACATGAACCGTTTTTGATCCCTTTCTTACGTGTATGTACAACTCTTCCCCCCAAAGTGCCAACCCATGTGGAGAATGTCAAGGGGTAAGCTACTCTCCCTCCAACGGTTGATACGAAAACGATTGCCACGTTTCTAATATTTCCCTGTCTTCAACAACTTCAATGCGCAGGACTGTGATGGCAACGACGATTGTGCCGGATTACTTCAAGTAAGTTACAAACGTATAATGGACAACTACCATGAAACGCTCTTAATCTCGTTCTAATGATGCACCCTGTCGATTTGTATATTCTGAAATCTGTTAGTGCTTCTTTCGGGTGGGCATTGAAAATGTGCCCGGTTGCGTCGGTTCGGGTGTTCCAGGAAGAGATTACTGTGCCTTCAACCCAAACTTCAAGACTAGAGTACGAAGACGAAACGTATAGAAGATTCCAACATTTTTGCCAGTTGTGGGAATGAAGAGGCTGAACAACAGTAACAGTTAGTTACTCTCCAGCTTGTGAAGGAGTCTCGTGCATGAGATTTGTGGACCTTGGCTGCAGTAGCGGTAGGATTGCATCAGCTTTTGAATAATAATAGACAACTCTCGTAGGCCCTCGAGTTGGCTGTTTACATGGCTCTGCCGCTTTTTCATTTGCATCGGTGCTGTCATTGTACGGTACATGTGCCCCCGTAGAAGGTCATTGATGAAGGAAGAACATCTCCTGCATCTCTCTCAGAAACCAGAGAACAGCAAGTGTCATATTTCTAATTCTCTCGTGGTTACGAAGAACCCCAAAATTCTTGTAAAGAAGCATTCGAATGACCCCTCCTCCGCTACCCGTCACTATCTTGAAAACATCCTCATCGTCTGCGTCTCCTCCCTTCATTTTAAAGGACACCGGAGGTGTAATAGATATACCGGGCGAGCTGACTTAAAAGATGGGCCGGCATAGTAATATTGTTGAAGTTTGGCTGAAGGTAGTGTTATTAGATTTTTCCGTCTGAGAAAGTGGCATCGTAGCTTACGGGAGCTTAGAGGTGTGCAACGTGAGACGTTAGATTTTTCCGTCTGAGAAAGTGGCATGGTAGCTTACGGGAGCTTAGGGGTGTGCAACGTGAGACGTTAGATTTTTCCGTCTGAGAAAGAGGCGTGGTAGCTTACGGGAGTTTAGAGATGTGCAACATGAGACGTCAGATTTTTCCATATAAGAAAGTGGCGTGGTAGCTTACGGGAGCTTAGAGGTGTGCAATGTGAGACGTTAGATTTTTCCGTCTGAGAAAGAGGCGTGGTAGCTTACGGGAGTTAGAGATGTGCAACGTGAGATGTTAGATTTTTCCATCTGAGAAAGTGGCTTGGTAGCTTACGGGAGTTTAGAGGTGTGCAAATGTCAGGAAAATATTTAGGATCCGTTGCTATAAAAGAGAATGTGTAAGAAATGTGGGGGCCCAAGAGGAGGCTTCGTTTTTAGTTAAACTCTAACCCTAAGGATAACCAACCAACCAAAACCAACCAACCACCACCACAATAAACGGGGTCAGAGATCACCGGGGTCTGCCCGGTATATATTTTCACATCATCATTGCAAAGCACATCATCCATTTGCTGTAGCAACCAACACACAAGTTCACCTCATCCAACGCCATGTATCTTGATAATAACATGCTCCAAGAAACCAGCAGACCCCCGGTGGAAATGATTTGCCCGTTGACCAATGAACTCATGATGCAGCCCGTGGTGCATCGGACGTACGGATACAGTTGTGAGGAGTCAGCCATCATGGGTTGGCTGGAAAGTGGACAAACTCTGTGCCCGTTGACAGGTCAGCCCCTGGAAATATCCGATTTTGTTCCTCATCGAGCCCTGCAAGACCACATTGTGAACTGGCACCAAGCCGCGCTTGTAGCGGAGAAAGAAGCACAACAAGCAGAAGAAAAGTCTCTGATGAATGACGTGAAGGAATCAGCTACGCAAGACGATTGGAAAGGCAACCGATCTGGCAACGATGGATCCGATCCAGTAGTCCTTGCTTTGGTTCCAAGGAGCCCACCATCCCGCCGACTTGTCACAAGTGCGCTTGTGGCCTAGCTACTGATTTCCAACTGCTTCCACATCCGGAAAAACTAAGGACAGACCGGAAGGATCCTAACAGGGTGCACCCATAGAGATTTCGAAGGGTACATCGTACTCAATGAAGTCAAACGGCAACCTCATTCTCAAGCCATCCCTAATGCCTACGACTTGTTCACTTAAGCTAATAATACATGCTGTGCGTCTACTGGTTTTCTAGCTAGTAGCCAATACCGGTACCCGCTAACGGTGATCGAGTCTCTGGTCCGGAGCGACAACAGTACTTAGATACCGTAATCCTAGTACATGTAGCTTTGGCTCATCCCATGGATGGATTTGATTGAGTACTGTGATACTTTGCGTATCTTATGAATCAACTCTCCGACAATGCTTGTTCCCACCATTCACATTTGGATTCTCCTGTTCCGCCGAGATGTCCTCCAGGGTTGGTCCATCAATGGTCTAGCTACCCGTAGGAGTTGGCCTTTGCAGGCTTGGGGCCATTGCCATTTACCATGGTTGGCCCCTCGATTGGATACAATAGATAGATTCTTCATTGGATTCAGATTGAATGCGTCCAGTCGAGTCTGCAGTCCGTCATAGATGAATTCGAGAGGGGCTGCAGGGAGAGGAGAGCTGAAGTGACTTGGACACAACCGGGACAACTTTTAGGATACAAGGATCCAGGCTTGCCCTACAATGGATGCTACCCATGATAATGAACTACTAGCTAAGACTACAACTACTATAAAGAATAAGCCATGATTTTTGTTTGTAAAGATTGTCTACTATGTGTTATTGTTCTATGTCTCTGTTTGTTTGAATTTATTAAGATTGTAGGATAGCATCAACAATGATAGAGGTTGGTTGTCGGGTGTCACGGGTATTAACTTTGGACTTTCGTCGCGTGGAGGACGTTCGGACACGCACTCTGCAATAGAGGCTGCCTAGCACAGGAACCACAAACCTGGCTACCTTGTATGTGACCCTTCAATTGAACCAACTGTATTCATCTCTGCAAAATTGTTGTATAGCCCTGCACCCCACCAGATGCTTGCTCGTTGTGTATTGTATTCATGTGTTAGTCCCCGCAATCCATCGCCATGGTCGCCCCCTTACTTACCTGTTGTCTTAGACTGGAATGTACCGGTCAGGCTTTCGTACTCGCCGCCCTGAACGAAGCGTTGTTGTCTGAACTGTTGTTTGCTGCTGTGTGTCTGTCACAGGCTGTGTCGACATCTTCTTCTTCTTCTTGCCCTTCGCCGTTGGCTTTGTCGACTTCTTGGTCGCCGCGTGTCTACGTTTAATTCTAGGTTGTTCTGCCACCCGCCGTGGCTTCATTTGTTCTGCAATTCTCTGAGATGCAATCGCCGCCATGCGTCTCTTTGATCGTCGCAATGTTGATTGTGCTGTGTCCAAATTGTCCTCCTCGTCGACTCGGTTGTCGACCAGTGGCTCATCATCATCAACTTGTTGTTGTTGTTCCTCGACCTCCAGTGGTTCTTCAGCTACCACTTGGCCAGTCACGAATTCGAAATCCATATCGTCCGAGGCAACACCTGCCTCCAATCGTAGTGTGTTGTGCCGCTGCATCAATTCCTTGACAAGGTCTCCACCATCCTTCATCAAGGATGCGAGAATGTCGTTGGGTACCACTCCAAGTAGCACACCATTCACCATCTCCAATACAAATGGTTGTTGTCCATGCACACTGATCGCCAAGCGTGTCACATGCCACTTTTGAATGTATGGGACCACTGCTGTGCATGTGGGAACCACTGCTGCTTCGCGTGTGATTGTGGCATTGGATGCCATGTTGTTGTCGTCGACGGTCGTGACTGTTTCTATTGCCTGGATGTCTTTAGTTGTTGTTGGTTGTTCTACTACGTGTTCTGCATCTTCCATGCAGACATCCTTGACCTTGCGATATACAAATCGTCGATTGGCAATCTGTTCTCGCGTATTCAAGGTGCAAATTTCGTCATCAGCGTTGCGCTGAATTCCTCCGTGGTGCAAGTGGCACATGGCGACTTCGAACATGTAAGCGTTCTTTTCGTTGACCATGAACCAGTGGGCGACTTGCTTATCATTTCCTTTCTTTGCCTGGATGAAACAAACAAGTGCCTCGAGGTCTTGATGCACGGCATCAATTTGAATGTACAGTTAGGCTTGTTTTAGGTACGCTTTGTCGCTTTGGAACCATTTGTTGTTGGTGATCCATTTGGCCACTTGTTGGTATCCGTACTCTTGAATCAACTGCACGAGATCCAAGACGCGTTCGTGGGGTGTGGGTGTGCCGACGGAAATGAATTGTTGTTGGGCTTCGAGCCAGAATTCGTGTCGGGCCTGTGGCACATGTTTCTTCATGTCTCTATAGACACTGCTGTTTTCAGCTTGTTCGCCCTCCAGAAGAGTACTCCCACTACAGTGTTGACAGGAGCAAAGGATGTTGACAGGAGCAAAGGATAAACGGTTTCCATTGCTCCGTTCGGTGTCTTGACCGTAATGAGTCTTCCAGTGAGCGTTGGCTGATTGGCTGGGTTTGATGCGACAGCCTTTGGGCCGGTGCTGGTTGTATTTGTCGTATCCGTAGTGACCACGCCGATCTGCAGGAACCAGGGAAAGGTCGTAGGCACCAAGGTAGTGACCGTGCTGATGGAATTCCACATCAGGATGTGTGCAACAGTGCCGCTGTTTCGATGACCGACTTGTCCAACTCGTCCAGTTGGAACGTTGGGACTTCCTCTGCTGCAGGAACATCCTTGTTGCTGTAGTTGTTGTTGTTGCCCGTCGTCTCCTTGACGACCTGGAGAACGGGGGTCTTCTTGGTGTTGCTGTTGTTATTGTCGGCGGTCATGGACCACGAGAGCAGCTTGAGGATAGAAGAAGAGAACTTCATTTTGCAATTGATATGTATTGAATAGAAGATTGATAGAAAAGGTAAAAGTAGACTTGAATAAGGTCTGGGGGTTGATCTGGCCGAAGCTTATCAACAATCGCGAGAATCTTCCTTGTTCGGTTGGGTATGCAACTCTAGCAATACGGTTGAACAAAAAAGTGAGCTCATCATGGTGACATCCCATTTTTCCACCTCCAAATTGATGACAGATTCTGCCAGATGTTGGGATGACGGATTCTGCCAGATGGAAAACGACATGTGATGAGACGAGACTGAGCCACTGATGAGTACCCAACTGGACCCTTTAGAATACACCCAACAACACAGAGTAGTCTTGATGATACATGTAGCTACGGTAGCTAGCTAGCTAGACGTTGTTGTGATATATAAATAGATTACTATGGAATTACACTAGTAGAGGGGTAAATGACTAAGTGATGCCAGCTTGAAGGTAGTGTGGGAATGGATCAAGGGGTGCATTGAAGAGGCGGGGTTGGAAGAGGCCAGCCAGAGGGTCTGCAGGGGTAGTTCCTGATGAGTAGAGTGTAGAGGAAGCAGTGGCAATGGATCTGAGGATGTGGTTCCCAAGGTGAGTGGACAAATTGAGTGCCAGTGAATGGTGAGCCCACCTGGATGGGGAGAGTGGGGTGATTGTGATATCCAGGTTGGGGGGAGGGGTGTAGTGCTTGTCTGACAGTGGAAGAAGACCAGCAGGAGCAGATTGTAGTTGGGTATAGGCAGTGAAGCTATGAGGTGATTGTTGTTTTCTTGATGGCGTGGCCTCTGATGCCGTTCATCAACTGCGGTGCTCTGGTGCTGCGCACCGCGAGCTGCGGAGCAACGAATCGAATGAATCGAATCATTCGAATCACAATCGATTTAAATCGAATCAATTCGAATTTCGTCTCCTGGAGACGATTTGCTTTAGGGGTAATGGTACCGATGGGGGCAGAGGTTTGAATTATACCCGGCGCGCATTACTTAGAAGGCCCTGTAGAAGTCTACGTATTCGACTAGAGTATTATCGAAACGGTAGGATATAGGGTAAATTAATCTGTATATAAAAACTTTTATTACTACAACTACCTTTCTGAGATTCGCATTGCACCTCGTATGTCATTCAATGTCAGTCATTGAAAAAAGATCAAGCGTCCAATCAAATCACAGGCGACTCCGAAAAATTAGGAGCCAACTTTAAAATGTGAAGAACGCAAGGCGACTTTCATGTGCTTGTACATGCGTTGACTGTATCCCGTCAATAACATA